ACATCCACGGCTTCAAAACCGCAGCGCTCGTACCGTACGCCGACATGCTCAACCACTACCGGCCCCGCGAAACGAGGTAGAACATGCTTTCTCATGGTTTCTTCTCAGCGGATGCAGCTGGACCTTTGACGACGATGCCAACGGGTTTACGATCACGGCGCTGCATGGCATTGCCGCTGGCAACCAAGTCTACGACTCGTACGGCAAAAAGTGCAACCACCGGTGCGTCCAACGCTGACGCCGAGCCCACTCATGCTAGCGACTAGGTTCCTTCTCAACTATGGGTTCGCCGTGCCCGACAACACGGAAGAAGACGGACGCAATCCCAACGAGGTTCTCTTCCCGCTACAGCTCTTCGAGAACGAGCCTTCGTCGCTCTATGGCAAGAAGCAACGGTGCACTGCGACGTCTGCGTCGCAAACGCTCAAGGTTGGTGTAGGTACCTCCACGACAGCGGTGTCTACTCGATGGACACGCGCTTCAGCACGTACCACGGCGACGCCAACACGCGCGAAGGTTTGATCGTATGCACCTCGTGCATTAGGATGTATGCCCAGTGCGTAGGACTGAGTTTTCTGCGACTCATTGTCGCGACCGAGTTGGAGTTCGACGCGTTCTCGGTGCAGACGCCGGCGCACGCGATCCCGCCCATTTCGCTCGAAAACGAGGTGCGCGTGCTCAAGCACATTGCGGCCCTCGCCACTGTGCAGGTACACTGCATCTCGAGATCGATGGAGACACACACATGCATCATTAGCTGTTCCAATATGCCACGACACTCGAACAGGATAGGGTTGCCGTCGCGCAATGTCCCGTCTTCTCCAACCAAGCGCAGGCGCTGCATTTCATCATGGGCGAGAAGCGCGTGTGCTTGTACTACCAAAGCATGGCCTACGACGTCGCGCCGCTTTGGACGCAGCCGCATGACGTCATCCGAGCGCGCGTCGCCGCCGAGTTCGAGTCCGAGGACGACCCCAAAAGCCGATACGTCGACGACGTCACGGCGTTTCTGCTCGGCGATTCATTCGAGTAGCAATGTTGTTTCAACGTCAATAGGGAATGAATCGACGTGGTTCCATGGCAAGAGCCTCGCCACTTTAGATGGTGCGCAGAATTGAGCGCGCTCCTCTCGGCAGAAATTCCGAGCGCTTTCTCGTGAGCCAGCGCGGTGCTTCGGACTGGCCCCACGCATTATTGTCGCCACGTTGGGTACTGGCATGCTACGGAGCCTCGTAGTAGGTCTAGGAGTCCGGGGTCAATGAGCTGGCAAGGTTTGTAACGCCATGATGCAGCGCGTTCTTCGGTCCTTGCGCATCAGATAACGTCGCCACGACACCGACGGCAGAAAAGGATCGGCGATCAGATGCAGCACCACCGTCGCCAGGAACGACGACGGTGAGGATCGTGACCCGCAAACGCTGATCAGTGACCGACGATGGCTGCATCCTCAAGCATTCAGAGGACTTGGCGTAGGGACTGTGGGCGTCATTTCGTCGCTTCATGCCTGGCTGTATGCGTTCTAATTCACTTTGATACCAGCCAAGATGGATAAATGTGAGCCATCGACGACCCAGCGTCATGGGCAAGTGACTCGTGCTTCTGGTCATGCGACGCACGATCGCCATTCGTACGCTGTCAGTTTGCATGCGTCCACTGTTGCATCGACGACGCAAACGCAGCTTGGGTGTGTCGTCGTGCGATGAGGAGACACCAGCAGCCGCCATCTGCTACAACATCTGGCAGGCGATCCGGAACCAGACCTGACTACGGTATGACAGCGTCCGCAGCGGCAACGTCAACAGCACCACGGCCTTGGCAACACCAACTTGCACGTCAATGACCACCGTCTTTTCAGTCGATCATGCCTTCTGCACCATCGATGAAGCAAGTCCATTGATTTTGGTTCACGGACAGGCGATCGTTTGCCGTCTCTTCTTTATCGCCGTCCATCCATCCTCGTGGCTTCTCTTTCACGGGCACCAGCTTTGTACCGGGACGGAAGACATGGATATGCTCAAATCATATGTTTTCGCTTGTCAAGCCGTCGGTACAGGTAGAAGGACCGTGGACGAGACCACAAAACACTGAATTACGCGTTATTTAAACAAGAACGAGGAGCGCCGTCGCGAGTAGGGCGACGGCAGAGACGGTGACTGCCGTGGCGCTGGACGCCGGCGCCGCCGTCGTGGCGTGCGGCTTCAAAAAGCGCCGCGCGCATCGAGAGTACGGCCGTG